GATGCCGAAAGCGGGTGTGAGTATTGAAACCGGCTGTCAGTCATCCAGGCAATCAGCCCATTCAGTTAGTGAATGTGTTGCAACAAAGTGTTGTTATCGGCGATCGGGCCCAGTCAACAGTTGAGTAGAAGTTCCCCTCGGAACACACAGATATGACGACCAATTGACCGTATCGATAACGCATGACCATGACTAGAACACATGAATGAGGTTTACATCATTGCTTTACTGGTAAACTCGTTATAAATTAGTTCACTATTCGATCAAGGGATTATCAGACTGAAAATTCTATTAAGGAAATTACAATGGCCATTTCTACTTCCGGCAAAGAGACCAAGAATACTCGGCGATAACAAAATGTTTCTAAATGTAAATCTTTGTACAAAAATGATCGAGAAAAGTCAAAAGTAAAGTTATCAAGCAGCCGAACTGGTTATGCAGTTCCAGATGTATCCAGTAAACATGTAACTGTGAAATTTTGCCATTGTAAGTTTCTAGGCGAAAATTTTCAGTACGTGAAAAGGCTGATACTGGTGAAAAGGCCTAGTCAACGGTCTCCAATCGTTGATTAACTGAAACAGCCATTCCAGAAGTGACGGGACATTAATATTGGAACTGGAAACGAATAGGTTCGTCGAAGTTGTTGTCGCACCAATGATATACACTCTCAGAACCTGTCTTCGGTAGTTTTTGTCATTCAAATAATCTCAGGTCTAAGAAACATGTAATGTACTGGACGAACTCCCATCCACTACAAGCAGAAAAGCAAGTGAACGAGATTCCACAGTGTGCCTGCCCGTTCGTGTTAACCGTGAAAATTTTCAATCTACGTGACTGTTCCCTCAGTTATTACCAGTAATGAGAGCTGTTCTGTGATTCAGATCAAACCATACACCGTAATCAAACACTATACGTCCTTTGTACCTCGGAGCGAAAAATAAGAAAAGGGGAAAACGAAACGCGAGGTAACCAGTGATAGTAGATTTGCGACAAAGTAAAAGGCCAAAGTGGGGAACACTAAGAACCCTCCCTATACAAAATGATTATAGCGAGTAATCACGGCAACAACCGACGGTATCTCTTTAGATTGCGCCATGCAATTGAATTACAATCGTAATCGTGGTGGCCATGAACATATGCTTATCCCACACGACGACCTGCCGCTCGGAACCTTGGAACGTGTTTGGCAATTCTGAGCCAAGCAGTTGACTAGAGTGAGGACTTGGCTACCCTAAACGGGACTCGCTCTGGAGGCTATGCATGTATTAGCTCCTCTTCCGAATTTCGGCATGGAAAAGCTAAAAAGTTCAGAGGTTCACAAGTTCGTTCAAAGGTTACAACGAGTGCAGTTTACGCAATGTGGTTTTCAGTTTACTAATATGCAGCCGAATATAATAACTGCCATGTTTTGTTGACTACAATGACATACACAATTAGTGAAAGTTGTGTTCTTTACAAAGTAAAAATTCATTTAAAAGTAGAGGGCAGTGTAGAGAGATTTTCAAAGTACTCAAGAAAAACTAAAGGGACCGGTTATTGATCGTTTCCAACGTGGCGTCTAAACATGAACGGAAATGTTTACGTCATACAAACAAACAGAATGGGTGCCAAGCACATAGTATAAGCAACGATTCCCTCCCAACAAGAATCGATTTTCGAACAAAAGCCGAAATGATTGCGGGTTATGAGTATTTAAATTACCACTAAACGATTCTAGCCTCGGATTCGAAGAAGTAATTAACTAATTAATCTATGGTGCAGGAAGTTTAGCTGCCACTGTTCCAGAAAAATATTTTATTAATTTTTGGCATGGTAGCCAATTCTCTGGTTTACAGTGTAAACGTAGAAAGTAAAACAAAATGACCGTCTCCACGAAGGACTACAGCAGTAGGAGTGACAAGAACTCACATTAATTCCTAATCGAGGACCGAACCTGCATAGGTGAAGGGCGGGGTGACCACAACGTGGTACGGCGGAGCGTTTGGAAAACTCTCAGCGCCAGGAAAAGTGGCTGGACGCTCGCGACCAGTTTTTTTACAGTTTGATTTACGAAAAAAAGAAAATGCATTAATGTGTCACCCAAATAGTTATAGTGAGCTAATGCAGAAATATAAAGTTCTCCGGTTACTTCACTGGTCATAAGCTGAAGAACCGAAGAAAATGTGCCAGTGGTGATGATGACTTTGATTTGATGGATGGAATACTATAGGATTTAGAGTATTATTATTAAGTTTTGCCTGCTAAAAACCCTCATCGGAACAGGCTCATGAAAATGTTTGAAGTCACAGGAAAGACAGTGCTCGAGGGTGTTGAACAGAAAAGTCGCTGAAGTATATCGCCACAATTGGATTCTCAGCAGATCAGAATTTTTAGTGTTTACTATTCGGAAAAACATCCCCATTCAGACCCAGATACATCACTTGTAACTCTTGAGCAGATGAGGAATGCGATTGGTGGGCGTGGGTTACTAGCCAATCACAGGTGCCTTTTACACGTAGCACTTATCACGAGAAAACTCGTACATTATTTGTCGCGGAATCTGAATGATGCCTGGAATCGAAGTTACTTCCAATGGATAAATAAAAATCCTCTTCTCGATCCTGGTCAATGGGCAAGAGCGTTAAACCCGTGGGCACACCAAACTGTGAGACTACTGTTTGAGATAACTGGCTACTTCCGAGACGTGAATGGAGCGAGACAACTAGCAAAGATTGCAGTGCTCCGGGCATAAGGCCACCCACACCCATTTAATTCGGCATGAGTTTCTTTCCTTGCAACAAAAAACCCTATTTAAGTAGACTATTCTTGTGTGCCCGGTGTAATATATAGAACCTCCATAATTACGAAATATAATATTAATATAAAAGAAATAGGCTACATAAGGAAACTCTCGTTCGGTAAATACTACGGGGAGTAAAAATAAAAATAGGCAACGATTTTGGCAATTCAGACGTGCACGTAGTTGTTTCCATTGCTGTGGTTGCTGGGAGCCGGTCGCTATGGGGCACGAATGTGGGGTCATTTCAAAGACGATGTCAGGGACGACAAGTTTTATTTGATTCTGTGAAATAGAATTCGACAAAGAATGTGCCAGAATGAGGTCAGTATGGAGCCAAGTATGGAGAACTGTACAAAGATGGTCTTCATTGGATTAGTTGAACCTGGCTGACAATGTAGAAGGGATAAGCAATGTCAGAGTGAAACCAAGTCGTTGGTCGTTTCGAATTATGGATGCTATTCAGGGAAATACTGGAATTCCAGTGATGATGATGATGTTCAGATAGAGTTTACATTAGCTTCATCACTTCGGACTTGATGTGCATTAGTATGAAATGGGCTGCAATTGAGATTGCTTAGCACCCTGCGACTGCTGCTGCATGTTCCAAATGAAGCGGAAGTGGTGAATGAGAGGGAGAGAGTTTCAAAAGCATAAAATGAAGGGTATAAGAGCCACCAG